TTATCTTGTGCAACAAACTCAGACTCTGGGAGAAGAAGTAATTGGACAGAATTCACAACACCACCCATGCATTGTATTATTTTCTAAGTGTGGCCCTGAAAGGCTGTGTTCGTTGTGTTGTAGTAACATTGACAAAAATGGATGATCGTCTCTCCACAATAGCACAGAGGTTTAAATGCAATTACTGGCTTTATGGAAAAGAAAAAAGGCCAGACATCAGAAACCTCAAAACCAGAACACTTTGCTTTTTAATGATTCCAAATGATCTAAACATGCACTGGAATGAAAACCACTCAATTAGCCCTCGGCTCTACTTGGAGTGCTTTATAGAATTCAATTCATACTTTTTTGTTCACACATTCTTTGAAATGAACAATAAAGCTCTAAAACTGTAAAAAGTTTTCATTTCATAAAATTTGATGATTTACCTTCTCTGTGTCTGTGTGTGTTTATTTCTTCAGGGTAGAAGAGAATGTTACTTGATTATCTTGGTAGGTTGACATGGCACGGTTAAAAAAAAAGTGAATTTATCTGGGATAAGAAAATATTTTGAGCTATAACATTACAAATGTATTCCTACAATTATCCCTACATCCAGAATATGATATTAAGCGTAATGGAGGGTCTAAATTTTTTTCACAAGCTATAACTATCCAGAGTCACTGATTAAAATGGTCATTTTTGTTTATCCATCAAAAAAGCAAGAAAGGGTGTAGGTTTTATGTGCAAAATAATACAATGGCCTTGTCCCCCCAGCTGAGGATGGTAGAGGGCTGGAAACAATTTCGTCCTTTAAAGTAAAGGTGTGAAAGCAAACTCAACCATTAACTGCCTAAAACAATCTCTTAGCAGGTCACTGGCTAACAAATCAGAAAATTTGAAATTAGAAAAACTGGTGAAGAACGCCAAAAGCAATCAAAGCCATTTGATTACATGAACATGGCTGAATAGTTCTGAACTTCTTCTATAATTGAACTTGATTCCTGCCTGAGTCATATCTCTCTGTTCACCAACCAGATTGAAGGCTGATCAAAGCACGAAACACATGCTCAATAAATGTCTTTGGTAGGTCATTTCAGAGAAAAGGTTGTGATTATTTCATTACCTCCAAAATCTGTCTCTACCACTTCTTTTATGTCCCAAATGGTTCTGTAGCTGCTGGGGAGTAAATCATGAAATGATTTAATGGAGCCATCATGAAATGGCTGAGCACCAGCCAGGGTCCTATTCAATAGAGGCCATAAAATTGCAGATTTACATTCCATTTGCACATGAAAAAGGAGAGAGGATCTGGAAATGGGAAAGCCAGGAAGATGAATAATAAGTTTCTTCCTCTTCCCAAGTCACAAATAAAACTGCATTTTTGAAGACACAAGCCTAAACCAAATAGGAATGTCTTCAAATTAATGTCAGTTGTACTGAATTTATTGACTCCATTGCCATTGTATATGGAGTCATATACAATGACTCCCCCCCACCCCATATAATGTACTGCTTTAATTTCTTCCCATTTTATTTTGACAACAACCACGTGTTGTTTTCATACTCAGAAACACACACACATGGAAAGAGTCAGGGTTAGCACTTTGGTTTCTAGTTTTACCGTTTCCTCAGTGTACTCTTTCCTCTCCCCACATTATTGACATGTTTTGTGACTACTGAAGTGGAAGAGTAGTCAGGGTATTTCAATGACATTTATTCATAGACATTTAGTCAAACAAATCCTGCCAAACCCACCTCAACTTGGCCACAGCAGCTGCTCTGGGGAGGAGTCCTTCCCCTGGCTCTCCAGGCTCAGGTCACTTGGACCCTGCCCCCAGCTCTGGGGCCTCATTCTGCCTTCCAGCCTCTCCCCTGCACAAGGTCGAAGTGCTCTGTCCAGGCATGAAGACCTGACCTTGGCTCAGCCCCCTGCTCTCATCATCACTCAGAGAAATGTGTTCTAGAACAGCAGGGGCTCTTCCCCAAAGGAAAAGGGTAATTAGGTTACGGGGTGACAGGCAAATGTCATCCTCTTCTGATGACCTCATTTCCATTCATTAAATCGCTGTAGCACATAAGGATAAGGATGGCAGCCAATTCTGGTGTCCCAGAAAAATTGCCTTCCCCTGCGAAACCAGTCTTTTGGCTACTGGGAGAGGCAAGGAGCCTCTCACATCTCCAAGAACAAAAATACAGTAATAGCAGCATTAGCTATCATTTAGCTCAAGTCTGCTGCGTGTGAAGCGGTGTGCTAGGCATTCAGTACCCATGATCCATGCTAATCCATATGCAAGCTCCTAGAAGAAAGGACAGCCTGGTAGAGCGAGCATGACCTAGGGTCAGAGGCCCCCGGGGTCCAATCTAGGTTCCACGGCCCCTGGGCTGTAACTGTAGACCGGTTGCTTAACTTCCCCCATGCTTGAGGATCCCCCCCAACGCCCCACCGAAGGCCAGATGATGAGTAGTAAAGAAGAAAGTTTAGGACAGCATGTGGGACTGGATGAATGTTCAGAATGGCTTCAGTTACCATCATTACCGTTTTCCTCATTTTACAGATGAGGAAACTGGGGTTTAAAAGATATGTAGCTTGCTCTAATTCACAGAGCTAACCCAGATCTGATTTTAGGGGCCAAGGGACCTGTCCTCCGCCACAAGCAGTTAGCAGAAGATCAAGGAGCAGCAACAGGGCACTCAATTCCCAAGTGAGGTGTTTGCCTCATGCTCATACACTACAGGCACAGAGAGTGTGGGCCCCTGAGCTGAATTTCTAAAGCCTCTAAGTATAGCTTAGATGCTGCTTTATGACACAGATTGTCCCGTCTAGGAGTATACTTGCATAAAAACCTGATACACAGTCTGGTGCCTTGTGTACAAGAAAAGGAGCCTGCCTTTGTCCTCTGTGACAAAAGCACTAGGCTGGGCTGCAGGCATGGTGGGTGTTTGGCTTGGAGAGGGAAAGGCCTTGCATGTTGAGAAGAGCCACACACCTGGTCCATTCAAGAAGACTGATCTCCTCTCTTACCACACCTGACTTGGGGCATGGCCCAGGCTGTGCTTCCAGACCAGCCTGCCCCTGTCTCCACAGAAAAGACCAACAGTTGGGCCCAAGTCTCCTGGTCCCAGACACCCCTTTGCAGGTCCCTTGCAGCCCTGAGCCCTAATCTTACCCTCCCTTGCCCCAGCCAACACCTGCCATTGTGAATACATTTCCTTGACATTTGCCTCTTGGTTCTTAAAGTGGAAGGAATCATGAGAGGAAAAAGAAAACCTTAAAATAATGGGATTTTAATCAAGACTTTTATTACCTGCCCCAGAGTCTTATAACTAGTTTGGGGGTTTTAATTCCTGTTTATAATTGTGTTGTATTATAAAAGTAGTTTGTTTTCATAGGAAAATGTCTGACAAACAGCATTCAGATTACCAGGCTAGCCCCCTCTGGTGGATTGCTCTGTCATTCCAATTACTCAGGGCCTCCTCTCTGTGGATGACTAACTGACCTTCCCCAGCCCACTGACATCGGGTTTGCTCACGTGACTTTCTTTAGTCAATGAGATGTGAGCATAGGTGACACATGGCACATGTGAGCCCAACTTTAAGAGTCATCATGAGGCTCTACCTTCACTTCATTTTCCCCTGCTGTAAATACAGCCGCTGCCCAAGAGAGGGGCTGCCCTTTGACCTTGGGTCCTGGAATGAAGGAGAGACAGAGAGCAGACCCACATCCATCCCACAGACTGTATACAGTCTCCACTTTGTTACTGTTAGCCACTGAGAGTTGGGAGTTGTTTGTTACTACTGTGTAACTACTGGATGCTGGCTACCACGTTCACTACAGCTTGGTTGGACCAAACTCATCTAAAAGAGCATATATTTTCAATGAAAACTAGTGGAAACTCGTGCTTGAAACAATCACCCTCTGAAAAAGTGGGTTTTGTTTTGTTTTTTAAAGAACTAGGGTTAGGGCCAAGGCATCTTTATAGGGCTGATATCATTCTTGTCATTATTCAAAATGCAAACTGACCCTGGGCAGGCTTTGATGCCTTTGGGCACATTAAGCTCCTTACAGAATTTAGTTTTCAACCTAATTTATTTTTTCTTCCCCTAGAGCGCATCTGTAAACTAGAGAATTCATACTTCCTCTTTTCAGTGCTACACTCAGAGCTTTTGCTAGCCTCATGATCTGCTCCCTTAAATGCATTGCAGACAAAGGCAAAGACAAGGCAGAAGCCAAATTCAACTTTGCTGCATCGCACAGGAGAGAAATGGCTTGGAGGTTAAAGGCGGACATGTGGTTCAGTCTTGCTGTTTCTTCTAAACTTAACTTCGGAGTGATTATTCCTTAGAATTGTAAAGCCACAGCCAAACCATCAATGAAATCCATGTACACACTGTTTAAGAATGGAAAAAGAAGGCTGAATGGCATCAAGAATTAATTACATTCAAGAAGACCATTTGGGAGTGTAGACTTGTAGAAAATAAAATCACATACAAGTACATATACCTAGTAAGTCATATTCCTAGGATGCAAAAGAAAAAAATATATATATATCAAAAGGCTTGAAGGCTTATCCATTTAAATAAAAAGGTAAGTGGATGGTGGTGATGGTAAAATGCTGGTGAAGTTTAGAACACATGGTTCTGGATACAGGTTAAACACGCACACACAGATTATGTACATATATACATGCTAAATAATGTATATAATTTTACATGTTAAATCTAGATGTACCCAGATACATCCTAAAGAATTTACTCCTGCACCTCTGCTTTGGGTTTCCTTTTAAATCTGTTTTCATGATAAAAGGATTCCTTTTCATTTATTAGACACAGAGTTTGAAGTTGCTTAGTTTTCTGACAACTATGTGTGCCAAGTGTTTGGTTTGAAAACCAGCACAGCTGAAATGGTCATTGCTTGGGCAAAGGGGTGCATTGGCCAGGCTTCACAGGGTGAAGACAAGCAAGGGGCCACCCCGCAGAGCCTGCCAGCCCTGCCCAACTGTGCGGACGCCAGGACTCACCAGATTCTGCGTAAACACGGAAACATCCTCCGTGCTGTTGTCAGAATTGACTCGCACCAGCCTTCCGAGTCTAGGGGAACTTATAACCGTAAATGTTACAGTTCTGTTTCCTGTGCTGTCCGCGTCATTGGTCACAGCTCTCAGGTCACCAGATGAAAGGGGCTTCATGGAACCTAAGTGAAGATGAAAACATGCACTGACGTGTGAAGCATATGAAGGCTGCCAGTTAACAAAATGATCTTTATAGACCCCTGAAAATTCTGGAAAACACATGGTTACATGGGGGGACTGGCTAGCACGAAACTGTACCTTGAGGGGCTAGTGATCCCCAAGGCATCTACTGAAGGATGTGATTTGCTCCTGGGGCTGGAGATGAAGGAGGAAAATCAGATGAGACGAGCTCCTCCGTCCCGGCCAGTCCTGCACGGCTTACGGATCTCCAGAGAAAAGAAGCAATGCCAGTGTGTGGGCCCTGGCTCAGAGTGCAGGAAGGGGAGCGGCTGGGTGCCCCAAGAAAGCAGGAGACAGTGCCCTCCCCTGGGAGGACAGGCGTGTCCTGGTTGATGGTGGCAGCAGGTGCTCAGTGGAGTGTCCATCTGTGGACATCTGGGGGACAAGTCACTCTTGAACAAACATGAGACATCTCCAGAGGACTCCACACAGGCAGGCTGCAAGGACACTGTGGGGAGGGAAGGGGCTGTGCAAATGCCAAGGGGGGAAGAACTGGGAAGACATGAGTTTGTGTGCTAATGCGACACATGTGGCAACTCAGAGCTAGAGAGCCTGGGGGACATTCAGGTTACAGCAGTGTTTCTCAAACGGTCTGTGGTGAAGGATTGGTGTTTCCCCTCTCCCCTAATCACACCTCTAGTTTTATAAAATACAATAAAATGCCACAGCAATGTCAGATTGCTATAAACGATTCTAAATACTTTCTATTCTTACCAGCTCACAGATCAGAAGATCCGTGGACCACAGTTTGGAGGCAGAGAATTGGAGCACATACCCCTTTAGTTCGCACGGGTTTGGGGAATGTCCCCAGCCAGAGAGGGTGGCAGGGAAGAGATTCTCATAGTCCTCCTGGTCCAGAATCTCACCTTATCTATTCCACGTTAGCCCTGGCTAAGGGCTTTATCATTATGCCTCGCCCCTGGAGTAGGCACCTGATAAATTGTTTACGAAGTTGAGTCAACCACCCAAGAATGACTAAGCCTCTTGAGTGACATTTGTTTTGGTTTACTTACCAAGCATCATAGCCTTAGAAAGTGAGGGCCACCAGTTACCATATTTAAACCATATCAGGCTCTTAAAAGTGGGGACTGACTACATCTAACACAAGGGGAAGCCAGCTTTGGGTAAGATTTTCAGATGTGCAAGCATTGTTCTGAGCCTTCCATATGGAGGCTCCATTTAAAATGCCTAGCAACAAACGCAAACATGAACAAGAGGAACTCCATCAGACTTCAAGGTGTCTGCTCAGCAAAGGAAACCATCACCAAAATGGAAAAGCAACTGATGGAATGGGAGAAGATATCTGCAAGCCACATAGCTGATAAGGGGTTAACATTCAAAGTATACAAGGATCTCATCCAATTTGAGAGCAAAAAAAGGCAACGAGCACAATTTAAAAATAAGCCAAAGATGTGAAGAGCTATTTTCCAAGAAGACATAGAAACGGTCAACAGGTACACGAAAAAGGGCTCAAAAAAAAAAAAAAAAGAAAAAAAGAAAAATAAAGAAAAAGAAAAAGGGCTCATCATCCCTCATCATCACAGGAATGGGAATCAAAACCTCAGTGGGGTATCACCTCACACCTGTCAAGATGGCCGTGGTCCAAAAGACAAGAGATGACAAATGCTGATGAGGGATGTGGATAAAAGGGAAGCCTCGTGCACTGCTGGTGGGAATGGAAATTGCTGCAGCCACTATGGAAAACAGTATGGAGGGTCCTCAAAATATTAAAAACAGAACTACCATACAGTGCAGCAATCCCACTTCTGGGTATATATTCAAAGCAAGCAAAACCATTATCTTGAAGAAAATAATTATATATGTAAGTACATATATAATATGTATTATTCAAGCTTTAAAAAAGAATGAAATTCTTTTTCATTTGTTGTCATTTGCAACAACATGGATGTCTCTGGAGGGCGTTATGCTAAGTGAAACAAGTCAGACAGAGAAAGACAAATACTGAACGGTATCCCTTACTCAAAAAAAAAAAAAAAAAATCTAAAGAAAACCGAAAACCCCAGCTGAACTCATAGAAACAGAGAGTGGAAAAGTGATTGCCAGGGAGGGGGAAATGAGAAGAGGTTGGTAACAGGTACAAGCTTGCAGTTATAAAATGAATAATGGATTATATAAAATGAATGAATAGCACTATACTGTATAGTTGAAATTTGCTAAAATAGTAGAACTTAAATGGTCTCTCACACACACAGAAAAGGTAAGTATATAAGCTGATAGATGTGTTAACTTGATGGGGTAATAATCCTTTCATAATGGATATCAAATCATCATCCTATATACTTTGAATAGCTTCAAATTTTGTTAGTTATACAAATAAAATGTAAATCTGAAAAATAAAACAATGTGAAACAAAGCAAAATGTCTGAGCCCCTGGGATGGGCACTAGGTCCTGGGGCTCCGGGGGTGAGGCAGGAGTGTCTGGTAGCGTCAGCCTCAGGAACACATTTGGGCCCCGGGTCAGGACCGCCTCGGCACAATTTCGGCTGTTACACGCAAGTACTCAGGTGATGCTTGTAACTGCCTCCTACAGTTCTCTTACTTCTTTGCTGCTGAAATTTTTGCTGACACTGCCCTCTTCCAGCTTCTGGGGCTGGGGGCCCAGGATCTGAGGTCACCTGGGGAGGCCAAGAGGATTCATTCTGTAGCCTCAGTCAGTGTTATATAAAGTCAAAACTAAGGCTCACTCTTTGTTACCTGCCAACATAGGCTTTCCTCATCCCGTCTGGTGGATCGTGTATTAATGTGTGCAGTCTTTGGACACCCAAACTTCTCTATCTTGAGCTTTTTTCAGACCTTGTCCCCAGTCACTGTGCCTTCTTAATTATCTCCTTGTTATAAAAGACTCTAACTTTTCACTATTCCTCCCTGTCCAGGGCTACCTTTGGCAGGTGGGGGATGGGAGGGACTCTTTCTTTAAAACAATATCATTTCATTTGTCTTAGCCTTTTGGGGGAGAGGACCCACTAGAGATGTTCCAGGCCAAGAGTGCTTTTTTCCAGCCAGGGTTTATCAATCCCTCATTCCCATGTCCAGCTACCTAACCCACAAGGGTTCCTAGGGTTTAACTCCTAGTCAGCAGTCATCTGGGCATGCTCAGTCAGCAAGACTAGCCAGCTCCATGCTGTAACGGCCGGATGAACGTCTTCTAGCGTTCAGCCCAGTTCACAGAAAGCCAAACCTCATTTCCCCCCCAACCCACTTCATTTTATCCGAGCATTGATAGTTTCATCGGTAATCTCCAGGCACTTAATTTAGGAAGGATTTCTCTCAGGTGCCACCCAGCTGAATACTCCATAAAGTAACCATCCTACAAGGAGTGAGGTAATAAAAGGGCTCATAACCATATGTGTTTGTCAAGCCCTCGTTCTATATGCACCTCTTCGAGATTTGAGAGGCCAATCAGCATGTTAAAGACTAAGTCTCGGGGTAAAGAAATCTACTTTATTCTTCTTTTAAATCCAGCATTTCTCAAACATACTTATCTCCTCTTGTGTTTGTTTCATGAAAAGCAACCACCTCCGTCATGGTCACCAAACTAGAGGGCCTTGCTCATTTCTTCAACAGACATTATCAAGTATCTAGTACGAGACAAGCCGTAAGAAGGAATAGAGATATACTAGGAAGGAGCACGGACAGTCTTGCCATTCCTTTTGGATACTTGATAATCCTAAGAAATACAGATTTGTTTCTTCACTAAGAAGGGATAACAAGTCTCTGAGAGGTTAAACGACTTGCCTAATGGTCAAATGTAGGTCTCACTGACTCCAAAATGAGCATTTTTGTTTTTATTATTTTTTTAAGATTTCATTTATTTATTTGAGAGAGAAGAGATAGCAACAGAGATAGTGAGGGAGAGCATGAGTCAGGGAGGAGAGGGAGAAGCAGGCTCACCGCTGAGCAGGGAGCCCCATGTGGGACTCGATCCCAGGACCTGGGATCATGACCTGAACCGAAGGCAGTCCTTAACTGACTGAGCCACCCAGATGCCCCTCAAAATGGGTATTTTTAAAAGTTGACACTATATCATCTACACTGTACAACTTTAAGCTCAGTGCTGGAATGATAACTGGGTTAGAAAATGGGATGAATCATTCAACAAACCCAACAGATTCTCCTTTCCACCTTCCGAACAGGCTACCATGCCTCTTCCCTGGTCTTCACCTCTGCAGCCATCCAGTGCCCTCTGGTATGCTCCCCACTTTGTTGCCATTCATTGCAATGCTACTCTGCATGGGCAGCTCAGGACCTGTCTTGCCAACCAGCTCTCCCTGACTATTCCAATCTATGGGGGATTTCCCTCCCCTGAACATGTATAGCTCACCAAGTCTATACCACTCACTGGACTCTTAGCATATGTTTTGGATGGTTAGTGTACTCTAGAGGGTAAGTCTCCTATTTCCTCAATTAGTAAGCCTTTCATTTTTTTCCCCAAGGCTTGACAATCTTTTCTTGGAGCTCTTAATTATCTCCCACTAAGTCTTGCAATATTCAAATCAGTGTTGCAAGATTTTTTTTTTTTTAAAGATTTATTTATTTATTTAACAGACAGAGATCACAAGTAGGCAGAGAGGCAGACAGAGAGAGGGGGGGAAGCAGGCTCCCTGCTGAGCAGAGAGCCCGATGTGGGGCTTGATCCCAGGACCCTGAGACCGTGACCTGAGCCCAAGGCAGAGGCTTAACCCTCTGAGCCACCCAGGCGCCCTTCAGTGTTTGAAGATTAACGGACTAAAAGGTTTTACAAATCTCTGCTTTAAACTCTAGCAACACACTGTGATTTCCTTCTGCTTTCTTCTCTCCCTCCATTCCCACAAAGGACAGATGGCCCATTAGTGAGATGTGATTCCCTCTGTAGCATGCTCGAACCCCAGGGGGATTGAAGCGACACAGTCTGCTATGGATACCCTTCACCAGTCAGCTTATA